ACCCCCTTCCCCTCCCCCTTTTCTGATGAAGGGTCTAGGCCCGAAACATCAGCCTCTCTGCTCCTATGATGCTGCTTGGCCTGCTGTGTTCATCCAGCCCTGCACCTTGTTGTCTCAGCTTTATCAGGTGGTTGCATTACATAGAGAAGAAGAATGTGGCACTACCTGTCTTGCTTTGCAAGAACTGACAAGCAAGATTCTGAAGAAATACGATTACTGGGTATATCCATCTCTTACATCTGCAAACAACATAGGTAATTGGCCCCAACTGCCTGTCAGCTATGATTCATTTAAGGTGTGGCATTATCAATTGAGAACATACAGAAACTGTAACCACAACTCTTGAGCTGGATACACATGAACGGCTTACAAAAATGTCAAATCATTTTCTCAGTGTGACATATGGAGAAACTAAGCGTGTAAAATTTGACAGCAGCAGGTCTCTTTCAAATACCACCTTGATTCACCGTCATACAGCAAATTGTACTTCTATCGCGTGATCAGCATAATGAAACATCACAATCGCCCAGTCTAAATTCAGGAATTGTCTTAGAATTTTGTGGTGAACTCTTCCACTCTCCATTTTAAAATTGTTTCTGAAGATGCTAAAACTAAAAAAGAATTGACGTGGTGATAATTGGATGCCAAAGTGATTAAAATCAAATTGGACCAGCCCTGGTGTTATAGCTGTGACAAAAAGATTACAATGGAAACAAAGGGTGCAAGATAAACTGCAACAGATTAAACTAAACAGGAGAAGCTGTAAAATGTAAGTATAGAGCTGTCACGGGACACGAAACATGAACCCTGTTTCTCTCTCTACAGATGCTACCAGATTTGCTGAGTTTCTCCAGCATTCTCTGTGTTTGTTTCAGCTTTCCAGCATCTGCAATTCTTCGTTTTATTAGAGACCAATCTGTTTAGAAATACAGGAGTAAGTGCTGACCAGATTGATCATACTGTTACATATTGCTACTGCTGCTTTTAGTTTGTCTTACTTTAGTTTTGATATAATTTTAAGTATATTTTTCAGTAATCTTTAACCGACCTGTTGAGGCATGTTATGACATGCCTTCCGGGGCAGGCAAAGAAAACTGAGAGGCAACCTTATTGGAATATACAAGACTCTTACAGAACTTGATAGTGTAAGCACAAAAAGCTTGTTTGCTCTTGTGAGAGAGCCTAGAACCAGAGAGCATAATCTCAGAATAAGGGGCTGTACATTTAAGACAGACATGAGGAGGAATTTCTCTCAGAGGGAGTGAATCTGTGGAATTCTTTACCCCAGTGTACTGTCAAGCCTGGGTTATTAAGCATATTCAAGGCTGATAAAGACAGATTTTTAATCAGTAAGGGAATCAAAGATTAGGGGAAAAAGGTAGGAATGTGGAGTTGAGGGTTATCTATCAGCTATGATCTCATTGAATGGTAGAGCAGACTCGATGGGCTGAATGGCCTACTTTTGCTCTTCTGTCTTGTGGTCTAATGATCTTAAAATTTCAGTTAGATATAAAACAATATCTGAATCAGATAAAACTTTATACTGGGTAATATAAAATATTGGATAGTGTACCTCCTCTAAGAATGTTGTTGACGTTGCTGACATCTAACAAAACATCTTACAAAAACTTGTATTTACATACCATTTTCATGCACCGTAACCAGGCCTCATGAAACCACAAAGGATCAGTATGATGAAGGACCTGAGTGGCTGCAACTCTAATGGACAGCTGCCTTTTGTCAGCACAGGATGATACTACGTGAAATGTCTGGAGCTGCAGTAACAGACTGCACCAGAGCTCAGCTTTGACTGAATGTATCCTTTGTTTTACTAGCAGACCTTGGACAATGGCAACACTGTCCTCTTCTCTGTGATTTCTTACCCCTTCGTAACATTTTTGTGCATTCTGCCCCTTCATTCTTGCATTATATAAAACCCAATGATCTTCACGGAAGCAATACAAAGCAAATCTGACACCGAGCCACATAACAGAAGTTAGGGCAGATGGTTGAAAGCTTGGTCAAGGATATAGATTTTACAGATTTTACATCTACAGATGTGATTCTGAAAAAGGGATTGGACTCAAAATGTAAATTCTGTTTCTTTGTCCACCGATGATGACAGACCAGCTGAGTTTCTCCAACTTTCTCTGTATTTGTTGTAGATTTTAAAGCACGGGGCTCAACAGGCCAGAATTAGATGTTCAGATATCTTTGGGGCTTGTGGGGCCAGAGATTACAGAGAGGAAGGGAAGGTTATAATCATATAGGGATTTGAAAACAATGATGAGAATTCTAATGAGACACTACTCAAACGGGATGAGTGAATATTGGTCAGCAAGGAGAAGCATGAAGGATGATTGGAAATTGGTGCGAGTAAAGACACAGGTAGCAGAGTTTTGGATGACCTTAAGTTGATGGAGCTGGCCAGAAGACATTGAATAAATCAGCACTTAAGATAAGAGTAGCAGGTGAACTGAGGCAGGGGTGGCTTTGTACTTTTACAAAGATAGAAATACAGTTCTAGCGATGACACAGATGTGCAGGAGGCCCAAGCCTGGTTAAATATGGCACAGGTTGTGAACAAAATATGAACCAGATTATGAACAGGCTGGCTCAGCTTTGATTGCCAGGGGTAGGATAGAGTCAGTAGCTAGGGGGTAGAATTTGTAGTGAAGACTGAAGAATGGTTTTTGGCGTTCCAATAATTAGTTCAAAGAATTTTCTGCTCATCCAGTGCTGGATGTCAGTTAGACCATTAGATAAATTAGCAATAATGGAGCTATCAAGAAAGCTGCTGGGTGAGGGACGGCGTGATGCGTACTTGCATAAATTGAAATATGATGTGGAGGTGTCAATGTTGGACTGGGATGGACAGAAATCACTCTACACCAGGTTATAGTCCAACAGGTTTATTTGAAAACACAAGCTTTTGGAGCCTCAATCCTTCTTCAGGTGTTAGTGAGAGAGGTGGCATCTGACACAGAATTTAGAAGTAAAAGATTAAAGGGTCACACTACTGATGAGGATGTATTAAACAAATTGAAATAAGACAGGAACTGTTGGAAACTCAGCAGGTCTGGCAGCATCTGTGGAGCAAAGAAAAGAGAGTTAATATTTTGAGTCCAACAAAACTTTTCTTCAGAGTTCCTGCACGGACCTGCTGAGTTTCTCTAGCACTTGCTATTTTTATTTCAGGTCTCCAACATCCTCAGGTACTTTTCTTTTATATAAATTGGTATGTTTTTGGAGCTGAGGCAAATTGTGTAGACAAGAATTAGGAGGATGTCAAGGAGAGATTCTTAGGGAAATCCAGAGGTAATGGTGAGGGAATGGGGAAAAAAAAGCCATTACAGATGACACTCAGCAATAGTTATGTGGATGGAACAAAACAAATGCAGTCCCATCAGCTGGACAACTGGTGAGATATTAGAAGAGAATAATGTGTTCAACTGTATTAAAGGTAGCCAGCAGGTCAAGAATGATGAAGCGGACTTGTTTACCTTTGTCACACTCATAAAGGATGTGAATTGTGACTTTGCTAAGAGTTATGATGGTACTGTGATAGGGGAAGAAACCTGCCTGAAGTTGAAAGATTTAGAGACATTCAAAATCTTGGTAATGACAAGTTCTATTGCTGCTAAGGTGCAATCAACAGAACAAATAGAATGCTAAATAATAACCAAAACAGCAGAACATACGCAATGTGCAACCGGTGTAATATTTAGTCATATTACATCTTGAGCATTATGCTCATTCAAGCCCTGAAGGTAACGCAGAAACGTCGATCTTAACATCAGATGATATAAAACAACTTGTCATTTCAAGTCTTGAAATAAAGTGGATTAAAGAACTCTATACAAAATAGTGAAATTGGTTGATAATGCTAAAGTGTGAGTGGTATTGGAGGAAGCAACTCAGAAGTTACTGAATAAATTGGACAGAATAAATGTGTGGTCAGATTAATGGCAAATTTGATTTGCTGTGACTAAGTACATAGGAAGGACAGTAACCATACTTCAGGAATGGTATTTGAGCAGCAAGATAAAGTGGAAAGATCAACTTAGATCAATCACCCAAAAGCCTCTTCATCTTCATTTTTAAGTGTTAAACTTGACAAATGACACCTTAATGAGGTAGTCAGTAAACTCCTAAAATTCCTTACTTAACACCATCTTCACCACAAAGACTCCAGCAGTTTAAGTGGAAGACCCTCACCACCTCTTGCAGCTTCAAGGGATGAGAAACAAATTTGACCTTAACCAGATCCTCAAGAACAATTTTTTCCAGAGTTATTTATATATTATTTAGAGTATTAGTTGGTGAAACATCATTAATATGAAGATACAGTACTTGTTTTACAAATCATCATATATTTTAATTTCTTTCCCACTCACACAATCACCATATATTTTATTTTCTTTCCCACTCCATTTAATTGAAAGGACAATTCCTAAATTACTGCAAAAGACACTCTTTGGTTTGTCATTTGAAAATTATATAACATCATCAAGATATGAAAAGTTTTCCAAACCACTTCACAGGAATAGTATCATGCAAAATTGAACTGCAAGCTATTTGGAAAGAAAGACTTACATTTATGTAGCAACTTTCACAACCACAGGGCGTTTCTTTCTTTCATTATGGGATGTGGATATTGCTAGCTAGACCACCATTTATTGTTCATCTCTTGAGAAGGTGATGGTGAACTTCTTTCTTCAACCACTGCAGTCCATTGTGGGCTAGGTGCACTCAAAATGCTGCTAGGAGGGGAGCTTTAGTTTTTGACCTTGTAAGAGTGAAGGAATGGTGATGCAGTTCCAAGTCAAGAAGGTGTGTGGTTTAAAGGAGAACTTTCAGGTCATTGCATTTGCTGTCCTTATCCTTCAAGGTGATGGTGCTTTGGAAGTAGCCTTGGTGAGTTGCTGCAGTGCATCCTGTAGATTGTATAGACCTGCTGCCACGCTGTGTCAGAAGTGAAGGGGGTGAATGTTGAAAGCAGTGGATAGGGTGCCAATTTCTTGATATCATGTGGAGTGAGTCAAATTGGCTAAAAACTGGCATCGGTGACACTGAGAACATCAGGAGGGGATATAATGTACTCTGCAGTCAATAACATATTTTTCAATTAATGTTACTATTGTGAAGTAATAAAGACAGCATTCAATTTGTACACAGAAAGCTCCCACAAACAGCAATGTGATGAAACCAGGTAAAATATTGACTGAGGGATAAATATTAACAAGTAGACAAGGGAGATCAATCCAGTCCTTCTCTGAAATGGTGAAATACATTCACTGGAGGGTGCAGATGGGCCTCAGTTTGACATCTGATACAAAAGACAACATCTCAGTATAGCAGCTACTGAGTACTATATTGGAGTGTCAACTGGATTTGTATGCTCAAATCCTGGACTGGGATTTGAATCCAAAATGATCTGACACAGAGGCAAGAATGTTACCAATTGAAGGCTGAATAGGCTGTGGCTATTTTCCCTGGAGCGTCGGAGGCTGAGGGATGACCTTACAGAGGTTATAAAAACATGAGGGGCATGGACAGGGTGAGTAGCCAAAGTCTTTTCCCTGGGGTGGGGGAGTCCAAAACTAGAGGGCATAGGTTTAAGGTGAGAGGGGAAAGATTTAAAAGGGACCCGAGGGGCAACTTTTTCACACAGTGAGTGATGCATGTATGGAACGAACTGCCAGAGGAAGTGGTACAGCGTGGTATAATTACAATATTTAAAAGGCATCTGGATGTGTATATGAATAGGAAGGGTTTAGAGGGATATGGGCCAAATGCTGGCAAATGGGACTAGATTAATTTGGGATATCTGGTCGGCATGGACGAGTTGGACCGAAGGGTCTGTTTCCGTGCTGCACAACTTTATGACCATATGGACACCACCCTACATAAAAAGACACACAGAAAGTCGTCACTTAAAGTTGCATTCTTGAAAAGTGTAACTTTAATTAAAATAACTTCCAGCGTCGGGAGTGGTGAGAGCACAATGCCGGGGGCAGCCGGGATGGTAAGCGTTTTTTTATAAAAACTTACCTCGGGAAGCAGCTGCCTTCTTGCTTTCAGCGTCGGAAGTGGTGAGAGCACGAGCCAGGAAGTGAACTAATATATTCGGGCATTGGCTAAAGTCTCAACGTAAATGGTCTCAATGTGGACTTTACTAGCTTCAAAATCTCCCCATGACCAACCTCATCCCATGACCAACCCTTCCCCTCATCCCCGCCTCCTTGTCCTGTCCATCTTCTCTCCCACTTATCTGCTCCTCCCACCTCACTGGCCAACGCCCACCATTGCCTACCTGCACTCACTATCACCATCCCACCTACCTTCCCCAGCCCCACCCCTCCTCTCTCTATTTATTTCAGAGCCCCCTAGCCCTCCCCCATTTCTGAAGAAGGGTCCCGACCCGAAACGTCAGCTTTCCTGTTCCTCTGATGCTGCCTGGCCTGCTGTGTTCCTCCAGCTCCATACTGTGTTTTATTTGAGACTGAGATGAGTGTTGCAGAGCGATAAGAAAGCATGTCTACAGTCAGTGAGACACAGGTCCATGCGGAGCTGTGAGTTCCCAAAAAAACCCTATTGAAGCCAGAAGTAGTAGCAGATGTGAGTGACAAAATCAAGGTGATATGGCAAAAAGCCAAATTTCATTTTGTCAAATTTTTAAATCACTGCTAGAGTTAAGCATTGTAGAACCTGTCAGGGTACATAACTTCAACACTCTCAACACAAGCAAGCCCAAGTGGCAACCTGAGGCCTGCATGAAGCAGTCGTAACCTTGATCATACACAGTGAAAGTGA